GTCTCTCTCTCTCTCTCTCTCTCTCTCTCTCTCTCTCTTCCTTTCCGTCCCAATGCAGGTAACCAGATCTGAACTTGATTCTTTCAGTTCAAAGGTTAGCAACAAGGCTATGTGTCCAAAAGCGATTATTGCTTTGCTCTCTCGTTAATATACCCGAAGCGGAACGAGATGTAACTGGATCCCCCACGTGAATTAACAGATTCTGAATTACATCCATATAAGCGGAATGGCAAAGGGGAGGGGGGAAGAACCGCGATGCGATTTATAAAAATGCAGTCCTCTTTGCAAAGAAAATAATACCAGTCAATTGTTTCCTCTGAACCCCACCGCCTCGGCGGGTGAAATCTGCAGTTGTGCCTCCCCTCTTGTGCCTTTCAGAGAAGTGTGGTTCAGGCGCTTTCACAGCAAAACGGCTTGTGCTTTAAAATGTTGAATGGCAACGGAGGCGCCGCTTCCCACTCGGAAAAAAGCAGTAAACCAGCAAGTTTGCCCAAAGTGGTGGGAGCTGCTGGAGCCTCTCTCGGCGGCTCTTCCCTGACGCTGCAGCAGCAGAGCCGCCTGCGCTACACACGCCGAGAGAGGGAGGGAGGGAGGACGAGCCAAGCGCTGCACTCCAGAAAGCCCAGCCTTACCCTCTGCTGCTGCAAGTGGGATAGCTGCTCATCGCAAAACACCAGCCCAGTCTTCAAACCCATCCTTGGTACACACCACAGTGCTCCTGCTGTTGCTCTCTCTAACCCATGGTCTCCCGTGATTTCCTCCCCCTCAAGTCACCACCACCACCTTCTGACTCTTCAGTGATCAATTATTGTTAAGCAAATTGTTGTTCTTCCTCTTATTTTAGAGCCCCTCCGTGCGCTGGTGACGGCATTTCGTGGCATCATGTTGGTCAAACAACTCATTTTGCATAGATTCGCACCTTTTCTGTCCGCTGGTGCTTTTCTAGACAGATGATGGGCTGTAGTGACTGTAACAGGATCAAACTCCAGGGAGGAATGGGGAGTGCGTTAGAGATCTCAGGCTTTCGCTGGTCTGTTCCCCAGTGCTGGGGGTTTTGTCTTTATTGTGCCTCTTTCAATGATTTGAATGCACATCTTCAACGGCATCTGTGTGTTTCTTGGGAAAATGGACCCTCAGAAAAAGAGAGAATGTGTGTGGGAAGGGTGGGGGAGGGTCAGGAGAATAAACACATGTAAGTAGAAGTAATAGATTTATTTCTGAATAGGGACTTGCTGCTTCAGTGATGGCTAAAACGTAGTGTCACCTACCTGGGTAAGTAAGAAATCAACTTTAATGTGAAAGACCTCGACACAACTTTGCTTATTCTTGCGTCCCTAGTTCACTTTCTCCTTCTTTTGACTTTGTGCCACTTAATTGCCCATGGCATTTGCATGCCTCTGCTCTTTTGGTTGATGTCTGGCTCTCAGACCTGTCCCTTCCATTCGCATTCAACAGAGCAGCGAGGGAGACTCAGGCTGGTGGGAGAGGACGGACCAGGGCATGCATGGGGCAGGCAGTGGGGAATCCCGCTTTCCCAGTCACTCACCTGCACACACGTTCAGGAGAACAAACCCCAGAGGTATTTATTTTTAAATAAAAACATGAAGACAAATATGCCCAAACGTCTTTCTTTATACTGATGACACATTTGTGCTAAAGCAGCCGGATGTGCTCAGATGATTCAGAGCAATGATCACAATGAGTCTAGCTTGCTGTCTATTTCATGTGGGGAGGAGAAAGCGAGGTTTCCACCTCTTGCCTGTGCGAACTGTAGGCACCCACAGAGGCAGTATGTGTATCTGCGGAGTGTGAGCTGGGGAATGAGTGCCTGAGTGTTCCGCACTCCCTGCCGTGCCAGGGCTGGAGAGGACTCTTTCTCCTGTGTAGGTGGATGTTACAGATCCTGCGTCGCTCACTGGCTGGCCCAGCTCTAGGACTCCTCCTCCTCCTGCGCTGATGCCAGGAGCCGCTCAGCTTTATATCTGCAGCATCAGCTAGAAAGCCCAGCTTGGCGCAGGCTCAGTGCTCACCGCCGCAGTCCGGGCTGCAGGAGGGGGGCTCCAGGAGCTCGGCATCTTCGCATAGGGTTAAGTGGGATTAATACGAAATCCCCATTATATTTGCCAAACAACTTGACTGTCTCGAAATTCCCCCTCGCTGTCCGGGAGGAGGAATCTTGTCCGCACTAATCCCGCCATGCCAACAGGAATACCGGCGGCATGCTGCTGCATTGCACTGGTCCCTGCACATGCTACACATTTCCATCCCTCGCTCCCGCCGCTGCCTCCCTCCCTGCTTTTCAACGGAAAACTTAATGCGTTCCCTTGTGGGAGGGGTGAGGCGAAAAAGCTTTTAACCTCCCCGCCATAAACTTTACTCGGCTTCCTGTGTGTGGAAACATTTGCACAGCACAGCCCCTCCCTCCCCCCGCATCTGTCTTCAGAGCTCCCCTGTCTCATGGGCACACTGCTCCCGCGGTCTGGTTTGCTGGGGAGCCTGTTTCAAACGAATAAGCGGGTTCTTTCTCTTGCCCTGTGCAACCTGCCCCATGAGCGCGCGCGCGCGCGCGCACACACACACACACACCGTGTATTATCCCCCATGCTTTCTCCTCCCTCTTCACGTGCAATGCCTCTGAGTGTGCAATGCTTGTCTGCTCGGGAGCGCAGCGTCCTTCACAGCGGATTGGTTCCTCTTTCGGAGCAGAGGTAACAGCCCCCCTCCCCCCCCACTCCCTCTCTCCCCTAGGCGGGCGGGCGGCGTGGGAAATGGGTCTGACGTGCTCTGCATGGTGGATGGGCAGCGCTGCCTTTGGGCCTCGTGCCCTGGCTACGGGGGGAGGAGAAGGAAGTCGGGTCCACGTTGTGTGTGCTGCCCGTTTGTCTGGGGGGAGAGGGAAATCGCAGCCCCTTGCTTCCGCTCCCCGCCTTGTACCCCAGCTCGGTAGCGTTAGGTCCCCACCACCTCTGGCCACTGCTTCACTCTCAGCAGGACCAAGCCCGGTTAGTTCAGGCGGTGGAGATTTGCCCCTTTGGCCAAGACTGATGAGCGAGGGAGCCCCCCGCCACGACACATTTGGAGGTTGGGTCTAGGGAAGTGGGATCGCACGTGTCCTGGGCTGCAATTAATAACATAGCCCAAGATGCTGGGGACCAGCAAATGAGAGCTTAACAAATTTATTAGAGCATAAGCTTTCGTGGGCTGCAGCCCACTTCTTCGGATTCATATAGGTATATGCAT